CAATTTTTTACCAAAATGTTACTTTCCAGCTGAACCTTAAGCAAAAAACTGTAGGAAGAACGGAGTTTAAAACTTTTTAACCTATTAAAACTTTTAACCTTTTTCGAGATATTTCAGCATGGTAAGCGTCATTTGACCATGACCATTGTGATCCTGACATTGGTAAATGTTATATGGGAGTAGGAAAACTGACTGAAGTTCAAAGCAGAACTCTTGTTATCTCAAAAACGTCTAAAATCCACATGTTTTTTTTATTTCCTGTTGGGGGTAATTTTCTACCCAGAGACAATAAAAGACTTTCTGATACCCATACAAATAAGGTTATTTTTTCCAAACAACATTTTTGCCCATGCTATTTTCTGGAACAAAATAAAGTATGAAGACATGTGTGTATTTTCTTGCTTATTTCAGGAAAGTATCATTACATTGTCTTCTCTAAGTAAACCTAGTAAGTGGTCAATGGAAATCCAGTGTTATTGAGAAATTTGGAAAAATTGAAAAGGTGGCCATTTTAGATTTCAGCTTTTCATGAAGTTGCCAATTACCTGCTATCAGGTTTACTAAAAAAGACACTGTCGTTGTGCTGCATGGCACCATCATTCGTACTTTTTATATTTTGTATTTTTACCTACGTGTATTCCTTAGTCTTCCTCGTCTGGAACCACTGCATGCTTTTAGACACTTGTTATGCCCTGGTCACATTAGCTCCACATCATCCAGATCGAGCATATGCTGGCATAATAATCCGGACTCTGCTTATTCATTTTGTCAACAACAACGGCAAATAACAGCAATTTTTATGATATACCGTGTTATTGTCGCTTTTACGTATCGGCATTTTTCAACTTCGAAAAGTCCTTTGTTCTTATTTGTATAATGAATGCGCATAGGGATCTAACCACTCGATCAGACGTAAGGTGGTCTGTTGAGATTGACCAATGAACACCGCCGAAAAATTGCTGTAATCGAATGCTAGTATGCATCACTTTTAAGCGTATGGTATCAGTTCCAAATGGTTTCCAAATCACGTTCGAATTTCACGACGCTAGACATTAAATGTATGCTGGTGTGAATATTGCGTTCTGTTTATACAAAGTTTCAATCACATAAACATAAACAATAAAATAACATGAACATAAACTTTATTGAAAATGCCTACGTAAAAACTCATCCATTCATCGTGGATAAAGTTAAAGTCCAATAAAGTTACTTTTTTATGACAATTCATCCATTTTTCTTGGAGAAAGTTAAAGTCCAATAAAGTTACGTTTTTAAGGCAAAGTGACGTGTTTTGAAAATGCCTTCATAAAACTCTTCCATTCTTCGTGGATAAAGATAAAGACTCATGAAATTACGTTTTAAAAGCAAACTAACGTATGTTGAAAATTCTTACATAAAAATCATCCATTCTTCGTGGAGAAAAGTTAAAATCCAATAAAGTTAAAGGCAAAGTAACATAAAATTCATTCATTCTTCGTGAAGAAAAGTTAAAGTCCAATAAAGTTACGTAAGTCAAAATAACGTGTTTTGAAAATGCCTACATAAAAAGTCATCCATTCTTCATTGGTAAAGTTAAAGTCCAATTAAGTTACGTTTTTAAAGCAAAGTAACTTGTTTTGAAAATGCCTACATAAAAATTCATGCATTCCACGTGGAGAAAGGTTAAAGTCCAATAAAGTTACGTGTTTAAGGCAAAGTAACGTGCTTTGAAAATGCCTACATAAAAGTCATCCATTCTTCATTGATAAAGTTAAAGTCCAATTAAGTTACGTTTTTAAAGCAAAGTAACGTGTTTTGAAAATGCCTACATAAAAATTCATGCATTCCACGTGGAGAAAGGTTAAAGTCCAATAAACTTACGCATTTATGGCAAAGTAACCTGTTTTGCAAATCCCTACATAAAAATTCATTCATTCTTCGTGGAGAAAAGTTAAAGTCCAAAGTAAGGTTTTGATGGCAAAGTAACATGTTTTGAATATGCATACATACAAAAACATTCATTCTTAGTGGAGACAAGTCAAAGTCCAATAAAGTAACGTGTTAAATGTAAAGAAACGTGACTTAAAAATGCAAACGTACAAAAGTAGATATATTGCTAAGATATCAACAAAATTACACCCTGTTTGTGGTCTGTACATGTTAAAAATGAACTAAAGGGGCAAACTCAATTTTCCTCAGGATATTTGACAAAACAGTCATGGGGTCTAAAAGTCACTTCTAATGAAGCATAACAATCATGCATTATGAGATCACACAATTCACATGACCATTATAATAGTTTACAACAGTCAAGAGCACATTTATTTGACAATTTAATGGGTTTGATAGCTTATTTGACAACTTATTATGTACAGGGTGGTAAAAAACTGGAAACCCCTACACCATTTTCCTTATATCTTTATTATTTTAAGAAATAACTTTGCACATTTGTACATCACTCAATTTCCTACCAGCCTGTCATATTTCATGACCATCTGAGTGATAGTCACCGTGTTACAACACTTTAAAGAACATTCCCGATGGCCACTATTGCGCTGAAGACCAACCTGCATATGTCGTGCAAAGTGTCCTTACCTATGGGGATATGGCTGAGATAGAGTGTATTATAATGACCCCAGTACAATTGCAGACCTCAAATGTGAGATCATCTGTATCATTCAGGCCTGATGAGGAATGCATTTGGATCATTGACAACTGTGCAGGTTTGCCTCCAGCGTGATCATGGCCAAACCTGAAGCATGTTGTTCAAAGTGCTGTAAAATTGTGACTATCAATCTGATGGTCATGAAATATGGTAGGGTAGTAGGAAATTGAATGATTTACAAATGTGTGAAATATCAGGGAGTAATTTCTTAAAATGAGAAAGATATGAGGAAAATACAGGGTTTCCATTTTTTGACCATTTGTATTTAAACATGGTTAATGGGGGCTATTCTAGCTAGTTTTTTTATTTGCCCCGGGAGCCTTGATTTCAAGATACTATGGCAACTATTTCTTATTTAATGTTTCTGTTATTCTATATATTTTTGCTGGATTGATAAAACATTCCATTCTGCACATTCTGTGAAAATTTCATAGGAAAATATTGAAAAATAAAGAAATTAGAGAGAGATTGTGACAACTTCATGATCAACCCTCGTATAACGTGGTCCATTATAAACATAGCTGGAAATAAGTGTTGGATTACACTCCGCGGTTGGCCCCGGGGCTAGAAATACGTTTTGGAATTCCAACTTCAAGCTGTATCACAAGTATTTTTTGATTTACCCACATGCAGTTTCACGTGTTTCATTCGGACTGACCAGCTCGTCTATATTCATCATGTTGCGTAAATGTTCCGTGCCCTGCACAGTCAGTTGTCTCAGAGGACTCACGTAATAAACAGCGTACAGTTTGGGCGCAAATAGACAACCTAGGGTTATATAGGAGTTCAATATCAGCGACATGCATCGTAAAATCGTCTTGTGGTAATCATAGAATGTCGTGATATAAGAAGGCATGAAGGCAACCCATAGTATCAAGGCTGAGAATATTGAGAAGAAAATGAATCTTGACTCGTTGAAATTTTCAGGTAAGTTACGAGCCTTGAAACCATAGAATGCGCAAACTAAAATTGCGACAAAATTGAGACTGAATGGTATCATGGTTCCTATCAGTTCTTGCTGACAATGTAGCTCCATAAATCTTGTTGTGAGAATGCGCATGAGCAGTGCTGGTACAGGTGGAATCAACAAAGTTGTTACAAAAACAACAGTTATCTGAAATAAAAAATATATATATAATATCCATTATTAATTTTTTACTAAAATTGCCCCTTATTGATGAAAGTACTATTTTGATTCTGTACCAAGCAAAACTCCATATTGGTAATTGACCCTTATTTCCGAAACTTTGCTCTCACAGGCTGGTATCGAAATATTTGTCCGCTGTGACGGAGCATGCTATTTTTCATAAATCACTAAGAATACTTCACGATTTATTTTTTAACTCATATGTTTCGTTATACCATACAAAATTACTTACTCCATGCAATGGATATATCATTTGCGGGTAACTTTCACTTCTGTTTGAAGTCCAATTACGCTGGGAAGAAAAGCTATTAAAAATGGCGCTGGAGTATCATACTTCAAAATGTACCATTTCTTGTTTAACTTTCTAATGGCACGATATAGTGACACGATGATATTTACACACGGTTTCAGCATAACTATGAAGGTATAAATGAGATGTTGATGTATTTGGTCTTTTTAATTCTTTTATAAAAAATAATGTTTAATTTTTTTGTCCGCTGTGACGGAGCAGTTGCAAATGTGAACTTTGAAAATGCTCCGTCACAGCGGACAAAAAATATTAATATTATTTTTTATAAAAAAATTAAAAAGACCCAATGCATTAATATCTCATTAATACATTCAGAGTTATGCTGAAAATATATGTTAATATTATCATGTCACTATATCATGCCATTAAAAAGTTAAAAAAGAAATGGTACATTTTAGAGTTTGATACTCTGGCGCCGTTTTCAATAGATTTTACTCCTAGCGTTATTGGACTTCAAACAGTAGTGAAGGTTACACGCAAATGATATATCCATTACATGGAGTAAGTAATTATCTTTGATATAACGAAACATATGAGTTAAAAAATAAATCGTGAAGCATTCTTAGTGTTTTTATGAAAAATAGCATGCTCCGTCACAGCGGACAAATCTTTCGATACCAGCCTGTGGCTCTACCCCGTTGATTATAAGCCAGCTAATGATATCTCAATAATAATCTCTATTCTGTAAATTGTAAAAATGTAGACTGCATGTTTTGCGATTTGAGGTTCGGATTCATCATTATTACTTTTATCATTTGCACTTGTGATTTTCTGAGTTTTCATGCGTTATAGGGGTTGTATGGTTATGGTTGTATGTGAAGGGGGTGTAACCCCGGGGTTGTACCTGACATATCAGTAGGGCAACGGCTATCAGCATTACAGAGCGTGTGCTTATGCATCTCGGTTTTTGCACTCCTTTCTTCGCTCCAATAAATATTCTGTACACTCTACTGGTTTTCACTGTCATAGGAATATATGTAAGACTGGCGGACACGTGGAATAATATCGTTCCTAAGTAACAAGAAATCACGTCCGGATAACTCAATAAGATAAACACTCCTACGCAAGCGAAAGTAGTTCCTGATAGGATTATCATTGACAGTTCTTTGCTTGTTGCTTTTATCAATTTATGTTGCCAGTTGATTCTATAAAATACGATGGTGAAAATGGATGCAAACACCCCAAGGGAAGCCAATGTAATTAGGATAATAGAGGAAATATCTGTAGAGCGTAGATAATAGGCTTCAATCCGTTCACATGTCAGAAAACTAGTTTGGTTAGGCCATTCGTAAACAGGACAGACATTGCAATGATGTTGCATCTGATCATGAATTTCATTCTCTCGACATTTGCGACATGCCCAGCAACATGGACGATATTTTACGGCAACCTTAACATAACCAGGCATGCAATCTCGGCTGCAGACGCTTTCTGGAACGCTACTCAATATTGCACCTCTGTCCGAATACCAAACAACCTCAGGTTCATTAAATATCAAGTTATCATTATGTTTATCCCAAGCCCCCACAGTTTTCCACGTGTATTCATGCTCTGGTTCCACATCATCTCGCTGCCATTGTCGCACCATGTATTTTGTAACAATGTTACCATTATGGTCAAATTCCATACCTTGGCTTGTCCCGTCAAAACTAACGTTCTTAAGAAATTCTACCATGCTCTTACGTTCAAGACAATTGTGCAGTTCAGAAGAACTGACATTACAACTGGTTCTGATATAATTATGGAGCGCTGTTGCAATGGCAAATACGGCATCCGTTCCCAGAGAAATCGATGGGTGTGTCGCATAAGAGTGTTTCGCTCTTTGATAGTACGTTTCATTCATGGTACATTTGTCTCTAGACGCCGTGGCATCAAACGAACACCGAAACTGCCTTTGCCAGAACATCTTGAACCAAGGGTTGCGGAGATTTGACGCCGGTGTGAGTGATTTAAAGTAGGCATCAAATTCACCATCGGACCTTGAAAATGGAAGCATGTGAAAAGCTCCCAGGGCGTGCTCGTATTGTGCTCGATATATGTTCCCACCAGACTCACTCAGTATCCAAATAAATCGCTTCTTTATTCCTAGCCTTATCATTTTGTTTAATAGCGACCTCGTATGGGCTGATGTAGAGTATACAATGACAACCTTCGCATCGGAGTTGTCCACCAACGATTCCACAATATTCGTGTAATTCGTCACTCCTTTCACGGAACTTACCTCTGCGGAGAATGCAATACATATCCCCATTTTCTCCGTCTGTTGTTGCAGTCTTTTAAACCCATTGTGTCCATAATCATCATCTCTGTATACGACAGAGATGTATTTCCAATCAAAATGAACAAGGACGTCTACCATCGTACTAATTTGTTGTTGATCGGGCGGACATGTCCGAAAGAAATAAGGAAATTTTTGTTTGTTGCTCAAGATGTCTATGCTAGCTGTCGGACTCACTTGTGGCATCGTCCAGCCCCGTAACAGTGTCGCAACTTGTATGCTACGTTGACTGGACATTGGTCCGATTACGCTCAGCACATCAGGGATGTTCGTGGAAAGCTTAAGCCGTCCGATGAGCTGAAGCGCCCGGATCAGGGCAACTGATTCTTTAAAACAGTCATCTAAGAGAATCATCCCTAGCTTGACATTTGGAAGTATATTGGGATCATTATTAATCTTATCAACTGCATATGCGAACGATTCCACTCTTTGCATCGTTCGTAAGTTTAATACCTTTGTCCCACATCGATCGCCGCGTCCGTCAAACGAACGCGAGGATGCGATAACTCCAATGTAAACGTCTCCAGGAATGATGAAGATTTCTCTTGGAACTTCTGTGTAGTGACATATACCTTTCTTCAGCACCAAGGTTGCTATCAATGTCACGGAAAGGAACACGGTTTTGTTGGAGCAGCGAGGTGTCATACCGCAGAGCTTCCAATGAACTGAAATGTATACATGTATTGTTTGATTAACAAAAAATAAGCCTATTATTTTAAGTTATTGAATGATTTGAAGTGCAATACCACCATTGGTATACGCAGCTAACGAAAATTGACCGGTACGGGTCAAAAGCTGGACCGGTACGGGTTAACGGTTTTATTTGAATTTAAAACAGCCATAACTTGCTCAATATTGACTTCCTCGTGTCTAATTTGAAATATATGATGCCTTCCGATGCTTTTAAGTACCCTAATTTTTTACAGATTTTTAAACGGACCAAAACTCTCTAAATGCGCATTTATGCTCTTTTCTCTCGAGAACGACTGTCTCATTTCCACGATAACTTTTATTTCGCACTTCTAACATATAAGATCTATTTTTCCCCATCAAGGTATGATGTAAATGAAGATCTGATTATTAGTCCCGAGCCCGACAAATGTTTTTCACAGAGCGGGATATAATGAATCACAGATACACTGTCACGTAATTTTATAGGGCTCGCGGGATAGTCGCAATTGCAAACACCTTTATCCCGTATGAGCACTTTGTAGCACTGAGCCTCGGGACAGTCAGTTTCTCAAACTCACTGTCCCGTAATTTTTTTTTTGCAAACGTCGGGATATAATTGATTGAGACCTGACATGTCCCGGCGCTGGGTAAAAAAATTTGCTGCGGGATAAAGTGATTTCAGAACTTGACTAATGCTGATCAAAGTATATGCTATCAAGCCATCACACATCTCTATGTAATTACCATACTATATTACCCTTGCAAAAAATTTCCATTTTTCATCATTGTGCTGAATTATATCAACATCAGTCTTTAATCTTTGAAATTTTGCTAAAGTCTATTGGGAGGGGTGGCATGTACACACTTGATTCATAATGCTATTGTTTGTGTGTGGGGGAGGGGGCATCTCCACACTTGACTCATATCATGGTCTATAAGAATCACAACTGTCACACATCATCATTCCATCTGGTATTATTTAAGTATCTATGAATATGATTTGTAGTATGTACATAAATCCTTGTGCGCCATCTTGTATCATATATTATGCCTATTGTTGTATATGTCTTTTTATTTTTTAATCAGCTAATATATATGTATATAAATCCTGGTGATGTAATGTTGTCATTTCTCAAGCCATCTCATATCATTTATCATCCTAATTGTTCATCTGTCAACAGCTCCTTCCAGTGAATTAAATAAAAGTTGTTTTTCACGATAAATACAGGTGAAGTATTGCGGCAATTCATTAAATAAAAGTTGTTTTTCACGATAAATACAGGTGAAGTATTGCTGCAATTCCACATGCAATCTGTTTTTCCATCTATTCCCTGCTGTTATTCCACCATATTCTATCTATATGTTTTTGACATGCTGATTACCCATGTCATACATCCTGAAATAAGCAAATAAGATTCATTTACCAAATATGAACAAAATCGCTACACTACTTTTCAATTTAAAGTTAAAAAAGTAAAAATGGTCGCCATTTTTCAAAATGGTCGTCTACTACCCAAAGTGTCATTAGAAAGTGCGCCATGCTTAAAGTATTCACATATAAAATATGAACAAAATCGCTCTACTACTTTTTGAGTTATAGTAAAAAATGTAAAAATGGTCGCAATTTTTCAAAACGGTCGCCTACTACCCAAAGTGTCATTAGACAGTGTGCCATGCTTATAGTATTTACATACCAAATATGAACAAAATCGCTCCACTTCTTTTCAATTTATAGTTATGAAAGTAAAAATGGTCGCCATTTTTCAGAATGGTCGCCTACTACCCAAAGTGTCATTAGACAGTGTGCCATGCTTATAGTATTCACATACCAAATATGAACAAAATCGCTCCACTACTTTTCAATTTATAGTTATAAAAGTAAAAATGGTCACCATTTTTCAAAATGGTCGCCTACTACCCAAAGTGTCATTAGACAGTGTGCCATGCTTAAAGTATTCACATATAAAATATGAACAAAATCGCTCTACTACATTTTGAGTTATAGTAAAAAATGTAAAAATGGTCGCCATTTTTCAAAATGGTCGCCTCCACCAAAAGTGTTATTCGACAGTGTGCCATGCTTATAGTATTCACATACCAAATATGAACAAAATCACTCCACTACTTCTCAATTTATAGTTATAAAAGTAAAAATGGTCGCCATTTTTCAAAATGGTCGCCTACTACCCAAAGTGTCATTAGACAGTGTGCCATGCTTATAGTATTCACATATAAAAATATGAACAAAATCGCTCTACTACTTTTTGAGTTACAGTAAAAAATGTAAAAATGGTCGCCATTTTTCAAAACGGTCGCCTACTACCCAAAGTGTCATTAGACAGTGTGCCATGCTTATAGTATTCACATACCAAATATGAACAAAATCGCTCCACTACTTTTCAATTTATAGTTATAAAAGTAAAAATGGTCGCCATTTTTCAAAATGGTCGCCTTCCACCAAAAGTGTTATTAGACGGTGTGCCATGCCTATAGTATTCACATACCAAATATGAACAAAATCGCTCCACTACCTTTCGAGTTATAGTAAAATACATTAAAATTGTGGCCATTTTTCAAAATGGCCGCCTTCTACCAAAAGTGTCATTAGACAGAGTGCCATGCTTGTAGTATCCATATACCAATTATGGACAAAATTGCTCCACTACTTTTCGGGTTATGGTAAAATACGTTAAAATGGCGGCAATTTTTCAAAATGGTGGTCATTTTTCAAAATGTCCGCCTTCTATTAAATGTGTCATTAGACAGTGTGCCATGCTTATGGTATTCACATTCCAAATATGAACAAAATTGCTCAACTACTTTTCAAGTTATAGTAAAATACGTTAAAATGGCCGCCTTCTACCAAAAGTGCCATTAGACAGTGTGCCATGCTTATAGTATCCACATACCAAATATGAACAAAATCGCTCCACTACTTTTCGAGTTATAGTAAAATATGTTAAAATGACCGCCATTTTTTAAAATGGCCGCCTCCTATCAAAAGAGTCATTAGACAGTGTGCCATGCCTATAGTATTCATATTCCAAATATGAACAAAATTGCTCCACTACTTTTCAAGTTATAGTAAAATACGTTAAAATGGCGGCCATTTTTCAAAATGGCCGCCTTCTACCAAAAGTATCATTAGACAGTGTGCCATGCTTAAAGTATTCATATACCAAATATGAAGAAAATAGCTCCACTACTTTTCGAGTTATAGTAAAAAAAAGTAAAAATTATGGCCACTTTTCAAAAATGACAGTCAGTGACATGGTATGATACATGATATGACATTGAGTGCCATTGTATGTTACAAATATGATTGTAAGTGACATGGTATGTTTCAAGATATGACAATGAGTGACATGGTGTTACAAGATATGACAGTGAGTAACACAGTATGCTACATGATTTGACAGTGAGTTACGTAGTATGATCAAGATATGGCAATGAGTGACATGGTGTTATAAGATCTGACAGTGAGTGACATGGTATATTACAAGGTATGACAGTAAGTGACATGGTATGTTTCAAGATATGACAGTGAGTGACATGGTATGTATAACAAATGCCAGTGACTGACATGATATGATATGACAGTCTGTGACATGGTATGATACATGATATGACAGTGTGTGACGTTGTATGTTACAAAATATGACAGTGAGTGGCATGGTATGTAACAATAAATGACAGTGAGTGACATGGTATGTCACATAATATGACAGTCTGTGACATGGTATGATACATGATATGACAGTGAGTGATGTGGTATGTTACAAGATATGACAGTGAGTGACACAGTATGTTACAAGATATGAAAGTCTGTTACATGGTATGATACAAGATTTGACAGTGAGTGACATGGTATGCTACAAGATATGACAGTCAGTGGAATGGAATGATATAAGATATGACATTGAGTGACACAGTATGTTACAAGATATGACATTGAGTGACATATGTTACAAAATCAGACAGTAAGTGACATTGTATGTTACAAGATATGACAGTTTGTGACATGGTATGATACATGATATGACAGTGAGTGACATGGTACGATACAAGATATGACAGTGAGTGGCATGGTATGTCACATGATATGACAGTTTGTGACATTGAATGATACATGATATGACATTGTATGTTACAAGATATGTCAGTGAGTAACATGGTATGTTACAAGATATGACAGTGAGTGACATGGTACGATACAAAATATGACATTGAGTGACATTGAATGTAACAAGATATGACAGTGAGTGACATGGTATGATACAAAATATGACATTGAGTGACATG